TTGAATACACTTGATTGAAGATATGAAGGTCGGGGTAGATAGCAAGTGTGATGAGGCCACACTCGGTTTCCCACAAAAGGGCACACATTTGTATGACTGGAATGTAATGGGATAAGAGGGCAAAGAGTAGATAGATAGACCAGGACAGAAAGAGTAGTGATGACGTAACCGTTTTCGGCAGAACGTCGGTCGAGGCATTGGCTTCACTTGTCTCATTGACGAGTTCGTAGCTTGGTGCGGCCAATGGCAAAACTCACTGAGAATGTACCAAGTCCACTGTCTGATGCTGGGAATCATGACAACTACTACGGCAGACGACTTCGGACTAGGTGCGTTCTACTCCGTCGTCCTGACAACAAGACCAAGTTGCGACAACGAGGTCAGCCCACTTGTTGAATAGACTAACTTTAGAAGTTTCGAGAATGTAATTCTGAAGCAAAATAAGAAAGATTTCGTTGCAATTGCTTCGCCCTTTTGTATCGTTAGCGTGTCCATAGAAAAGCTGGCCTGCGATGACTTCTTTACAGAGGGTCGTCGCCTCGGCAGCGCTCCCAGCGTGTGTTGTGTGGGCGCAAAGAGGAATCCAACGAAAAGGCTTCCACATCGCTTGAACCATCACTTTGCCGTGCACCAACTAATGCAGGGCCGCACTGACCTCGCGTCGGCCAAACGCCTAAACAAGACTTCATTTAACGATCTCTTTTTTTCCCTCCACACGTCCTGCGCTAAATGGTGCTTTAAACAACGCAGGGATCGTGAGAACGAACACAATTCCGGCGGACTTTCGCAAGGCGGCAACATTTTTTCCCTTTTTCACTGCCATAAATGCACAATAGACCGGAGAATACTGCAATTATGCGCACCAACGGGTTAAAGTAAACCAAGTTCAAGTGCCGACGCGTTGAAAGCTCGTCTAAGCACTCGTGTACACGTGAATGTGTACGAATGTGTGTATGTGATGCAACGAACCACCGCAATCCGTTGTGGTTGCCTCAATTGGCCTCATTACAGGACATCGATGATGAGGAGATGACACTTTTTCATTTCATCAAAGGGCAGATATCAGCATGACTCATTCAGCACCATCAGCAA